CATGCTGACGCTGTTTCCGAGGCAATCGCCTTCGATTCCGGTGAAAAGGTGCTAAGCTTTCGTCCGTCATCTGACGAACATCATCAGAACAAGATATCATCGTCATCACAACCAAATTCAAGCTGACTCAAGAAATCTCACCAGCAAATCCCTAACAAGTGGTATATCTACTCAACATCTGGCCTCTTTGATCAGGTATAAAGTGATTTAGTTAGTTACGGTCATATGTCATCTTCGATGCATGTGGGTGTGTCTGTCTCTGTATGTGTATGTGCCTGTTTGTGTTCGCTTATCCCCAACCCACATTCAATCAACGGCTGGTCAAAAGGAATTCGCCGTCGTCTTCTGGTGGGATCCACCTTTGAATCTCTTCACCAAACACTTTCACTCGAAATGGAAGTTAGCCCAACAATCCTCCTTCGGTTTCCGGTTTGACCGCATCACGAATTCCTTCCAACCAGCTTCCCCTTTGAAATGGAGAGTCATGCCACAATAACTCAAACATCAAGTTCAAAAGACGTGATTTATATTCTTATCACGAACTTATATTTTTAGACATATACAATTGTTTAGTTAGTATTCTTATACTCGAATGTGTGTGTGTGTGTGTGTGTGTGTGCGTTCATGTCCCTTCGCCAAACCGTCCATAACTCAGAGTATGTGAAAACAGCCTTTCGTCAGCCTCGAATCCTGAAGGCGTCATGACAACAGTAAAATCATGGTCGAGATTGCATCAAGAGGATTGTTGCCTTCATTTGCCACTTTGATGCATTGTAACTCTACGCAAAGAGTCGAGACTTTCACTGATGTCGAAGAAACCTTTGAGAATGCACCAAGTCATCCGTCAAATACTGACATTTGGCATAAATACAATGGCAGAAGACACAGACCTGAGTATGCTCCAGAATGACTGCCTGTCACTGCACCCGATTTGTGAAAGTGACGCAAAACTAACCCTCTACAGCCAAAGAAGACTACGTCCATCCTTTTTGTGGATGCTGCTTTTGATGGTGGAAAGGCGAGGTGATCGGCCTCGAAAAGCGAACGCAGAGGAGCCAACTGCCGTGAATTATTGCGCTTAAACACAACTAAAAACACACTTAGCATAAGCAGCGTGCTAATTGGCGAAAGTCTTGCTAACCTCGGGGCAAGAGTCGCTCAAAAACGGCATCTTGACATAATAAAATAAGTGATTTAGAGGTTGAATACACGAAGAAAAAATGTGTATTTCAAAGAATCCTCCAACACTTTGAGGCAACTGGACTTTTAACTTGGCCAAATAGCATGCCGACAAAACGTGGCGGGATCCTGGAAATTCTGATAAATACATGGTGCATATGCAGAAATGTCTAGCTTTATCAACGACACCCAGACTCCGTGACTAAGTTTCCAAAACGATGTTTTGCCAACTCACTCTAGATCACTTTATATCGCCTAAAAGTGGAGAATTGTGCCCAATGCTTCTCAATCCGGGCCTCAAAACGGACATTCGCAACCGAGCCTGAGGCTTGCTTGCCACCCGGTATTGCCCGAGTGGTAGTTCCGACAGGAGCGGATAATCTCAAAGTCTTCTTCTGCCGACCGACCGGCTAAGCAAGCATCTACACCGTTTCCAGCATTCAGCACTGCCAGGCTCGTTGGCAGGAGGGTGGAGCAGTGTCGCGCTTTGCCAAGGCAACCGAGCCAAGCAGGCCTTAGGATGGTCGCCGAGACGAGCCTTTCGCACAGACAAGGTAGCAACGGCTAGAGAAAGAGAGGCGCTGCACGAGATCAATAGAAAAAAGCTGGACGATTGAAATGTCCGGCCTGGTCGGCAAGATGTTATTCGCAACTGACGACAACAAAACTGGTCGTGAGGGCTCCGGTGGAGGAGGTGGTAGAAGTCAGGGCTGGCACGAGTCTGGATTCCTGTCTTCAAGACACACACACACACACACACACATATATATTCACACACACACGTAAATGTCAGGCTTGTTGGTGGCCCCGAGGTACCGGTTTCTCTGTCTTCAAGACACGCACACACAAACACACACACACACACATACACACACGTAAATGTCAGGCTTGTTGGTGGCCCCGAGGCACCGGTTTGTCTGGCGTGTGCCGTTGCAGACTGCGAAGAGGGCAGCAGGAGCGAGGGAGAGAGCGCGAACAGACTTGCTTGCTCTGCCCACTTCTCGGCTTGAACTCGAGTCGCTCGGTCCGGCCGAGTCGAATGGCCAATCGGATGGAGAGACCGACGAGCCTGGCAAGACGCACATCGGCCACCGAATGGCATCTGCTCGCGGCCGCCCCTTGTACCTCGTCTTGCCGCCCTCCGCCAACGGCTACACCACCACTTCCGGGCTTGCCGGGACAGCACTTGCCTGCTCGCCGATTCGGTGGATTTGCGCAAAATCACTGCGAAAAACTCGTCCATTCGGCCGAATTACGCGCCGGGCAGAGACAAGTTGCCGGGTTAGAAGAGTTTTTTCGACAATTTCCTCATTCGCCTCGCCTACTCACACTTTGTAGAACTGTACCTTTTTGGGTCTATCCAGCTCCCTCTCTCTCTCTCTCTCTCTCTTTCTCTCTTATACACACTATCACACACACACATTTAATCAATCATATGCACTTGGTCACCCACCCCTCTTCAAGTCAATTATTCGGTTGTCCATCTTCCGAAAGTGATGCTTGTTAAAGGCGTCAGCGTATATGCCTTCAATCCACACATATTTTCGTATGCACCCACTCGACTCGGCTAATCACACGAACATGCAAAGGATCGTGTATTTCGCATAATTTACGATACATTTGGATGACAAATTGTAAGAAGCGTTTTGAGGAAGAAGCTTTCTCAACTTAGAAATGATGCGCTGGATACAAGGAGGACCATTTTGATATTGCACAATAAACTCATTTTCGCAACTACATCGTGACGACAATGGTCTTCGTTGTATGCACGGTTGGGGCCAACAACTTGGTACATGCCAAGACGCTTTGCCGGTTGTCTAGTCGGCAGATCATTTTTGTGGAATACGTCGAGCCGATGCTTGAACAGAAAAGAAGACTGAGCACAGGCAAAAGGAACAGCATCATGGTCTACATATCAACTTAAAGTAGGCATATTTGTATGC